GACAATGAGAAGATGGTTTTGGCAATCACAGAGGTGTTGTGGGTACCACATACCTGTCTGCCCTTGTCATTCCCTTTCTAGAGCTGGTTGAAGCTCGGTCTGCCCTCTAGTGGCTTCTATTCTGCCTTGCTTACCGTGGAATGCACTAATACCTATTGTTGTACATAGTGTATTTAGTGTACATACTTCTGTTCTTACTTCGTGAAGGATAATACAAGTCAAAAGTTTTTCTGCTGTGTTTATTTTGCTCCCTTTACACCCAGGATAACAGGCCTTTAGATTCCTGGGTTTTAATAGAGATAATGTTGTGTCATGAGTTATTCACTGGGAGAGAGATAATGTTGTGTCATGAGGTACTCACTGGGAGAGAGATAATGTTGTGTCATGAGGTACTCACTGGGAGAGAGATAATGTTGTGTCATGAGGTACTAACTAGCAAAGTGATAATGTGCTGAGAGTTACTCACTGCCTGAGAGGGTGAGAGATACATATGTATTCATAGAGTTAGTAAAAGACTTGGAATAGCGGTTAAAAGAGAGGAAAATAATTTTGATATATACTCACAGGTAGACGATTCTATCGTAACCTTGTATTGGTCTTTGGTGCAGAGAGACACTCAAGTTGTTGTCGCTGAACACGCTGAGAAAGAGAACACAACGTCAGGTTTTAGCTGAATGTGTGTGTGTGTGTGTGTGTGTGTGTGTGTGTGTGTGTGTGTGTGGTGTGTGTGTGTGTGTGTGTACTCACCTAGTTGTTGTTGCAGGGGTCAAGTCACAGCTCCTGGCCCAGCCTCTTCAATGGTCGCTACTAGGTCACTCTTTCTGTTCCATGAGCTTTATCATACATTTTCTTAAAGCTATGTATGGATCCTGTCTCCACTACACCACTTCCCAGACGAATAACTCTGTGACTGAAGAAATACTCGCTAACTTCCCTGTGATTCATTTGAGTCTTCAACTTCCAATTGTGACCCCTTATTGCTGTGTTCCATCTCTGGAACATCCTGTCTCTGTCCACCTTGTCAGTTCCTCTCAGTATTTCATATGTCGTGGCCGGGCCACGGGGGCGTTAACCCCCGGAACTCTCTCCAGGTAAACTCCAGGTATATCCCCTCTGTCTCTCCTGTCCTCTAGTGTCGTCAAGTCGATTCCCCTTAACCTCTCCTCGTATTACATGCCCCTTTGCTCCGGGACTAGTCTTGTTGCAAACCTTTGCACTTTCTCTAATATGCCTAAGTGCTTGGATAGGTGTGGGTTTCAAACTGGTGCTGCATACTCCAATATAGGCCTGACATACACGGTTTTACAGGGTCCTGAACAATTCCTTTTTGAGATGTCGTAATGCTATTCTTAGGTTTGCTGTTCCAATATGCCTCAGCAGATGTGCCCGGTGTTATACTCAACCCACGATCCTTTTCCTTGAGTGAGGTTTGTAGTCTCTGGCCTCCTAGACTGTACTCCCTCTGCGATCTTCTTTATCCCTCCCCAATCTTCATGACTTTGCACTTGGCGGGGTAGAACTCCAGGAGCCAGTTTCTGGACCAGATCCCTTTGTAGTTCTGTTTGGTCCTCGTCCAAATTAATTCTTCTCATCATCTTCACATCATCTGCAAACAGGAACACTTATGAGTCTATTCCTTCCATCATGTCTTTCACATTTACAAGAAACAGCACCGGTCTTATGACTGACCCCTTTGTTACCCCACCAGTCACAGGCACCCATTCTGACACCTCGTCACGTACCAAGACTCGCTGATGTTTTCCGACAGGTATTGCCTGATCCATTGGAGCGACTTCCCTGTTATACCTACCTGGTTCTCCAGCTTATGCACTAAATTCTTGTGTGGAACTGTGTTTAAAGCCTACTTACAATCCAAGAAAACGCAATCTACCCACCCCTCTCTCTCTCTCTCTCTTGACTTAATGCTGTCACCCTGTCAGAGATGTCCAGTAGGTTTGTGGCACTGGATTTCCCATCCCTGAAACCGTGCTGGTTGTCGTTGGTAAGCTTATTCCTTTCTAGGTGCTCCACAACGCTTTCCTGATAATCTTCTCCATGACTCTGCATGCTATACATGTCAGTGACACTGGTCTGTAGTTTAATGTTTCGTGTCTATCTCTTTTTTTTTTAAATGGGACTACATTTGCTGTCTTCCATATCTCAGATACTCGCCTGTCTCGACTGACTTGTTGAAGATACTTATTAGTGGCACACATAGCACCTCTGCTCCCTCCTCAGGATCCATGGAGAGATGCTATCCTGCCTCATCGCCTTTGAGATATCTTGCTCGCTTAGCAGCCTCTTCACTTCTTCCTCGGTTGTATGTATTGTGTCTATAACTTGATGGTGTATCCCACCTCTCTGTCTTTCTGGAGTCATTTGTGTCTCCTCTGTGAACACTTCTTTGAATCTCATGTTTAGCTCCTCACATATTTCTCGGTCGTTCATTGTGATCTCCCCTCCTTCCTTCCTCAGCCTGATTACCTTGTCCTTGACTGTTGTTTTTCTCCTGGTGTGGATGTACCCGTCGGGCCTATTCAGGAAGTGGGCCTGGGCTCGGGCGCAGAACTGGGCGAGGCGAGGGAACATCAGGTCGTCGTATGTCACAACAGCTCCCTCCCGAACTGAGCTCGGGCAGGCGTGTCTCCGTGTCCCTTCCTTGGAATTCACTAGGCTGCGTGGGCGTGTGTAGTTCTCGGGGGGGGGGGGGGGCATGGGCAACGGCAACGGCAACGGCAACTAGTATGTTTATGTACAACAACTTCGGGTCAGATCTGGCTTTCGCTGCTATGTCATTCTCCGCATTGTCGTTGGACCTCCCGTCTTACCTGGGCATATTCGATTCTGGCTCTGCGACTGCTCTCCTTATTCTCCTGGGTTCGTTGCCTTCTGTACTTTTTCCATTCTCTAACACACTTGGTTATGACCTCTCTACACCTTAGAGTTGACCAAGGGCTCATCCTGACTTTCTCGTTATTTCTGTTATTCTTGGGTGCAAACCTCTCCTCAGCTTCCTTGCATATTGTTGTCACATATTCCATCATTTCATTTACTGACTTCCCTGCTAGTGCCATGTCAGACTGAAGCTCGTGCAGCAAATTCTTCATGCCTGTGTAGTCCCTTCTCTTGTTGTTTGGCTTCATTTATCCTGCCCTTCATGCTTCCCTCTCCACTTGTAACTCTACTAAGTATTCGAATCTCAGAACCACGTGGTCACTGGCCCCGAGGGGTCTTTCATATGTGATTTCCCCAATATCTGCACTACTTAAGGTGAATAATAGGTCCAGTCTTGCTGGTTCGTCCTCTCCTCTCTCTCTGGGTAGTGTCCCTTACATGCTGGTACTTGAGATTTTCCAGTACCACCTCTATCGTCTTAGCCCTCCACGTTTCTGGATCCCCATGCGACTCCAGGTTTTCCTCGTCAGTTTCTTTGTGATTGAAGTCATCCACAATCAGCAGCTTTGCCCTGCTCGTATGAGCCCTGCCGGACATTTCAGCCAGTGTGTCAACCATCGCTCTGTTACTCTCATCAAATTCTTGCCTTTGCTTCCTGTTGTTCTGTGGTGGGTTATACATTACTGCTATTACCACCTTGGGACCTCCAGACTGAAGTGTTCCTATTATGTAGTCTCTTCTCCTCTGTCTCCTCTCTCCAGCTCATCAAAATCCCATTGGGTTTTTTATGAACAGTGGCACTCCTCCACCTCCTCTGTTCAAGAGCCGTCTTTCCAACAGGAAAGACGGCACCTGTTATCGTTCCTGTTAGCTTGTTTTCGGTACAAGCTATAATGTCTGGTGATGCCTCTTTGATTTTCTCGTACCACTCCTACCACTTATTCGTTATTTCATCAGCGTTGGTGTACCATACCTTCAGTTTTCTCTCCAGCACTTTGTTCTGGGGGTCTGTGTGGGTGGGGGACCTGGCAGTGTGCTGTGGAGTTCTACAGCATAGTGTGGGGTGGTGGCTGTAAGTGTGGATTGTGGTTTGTGTTGGGATAGCGTGTGTATGAGTGCGCTTACCGGCTTAAGTAGAATCTCATCTTCTGGCACCGCCTCTTAGTTGTCAGCTACTTGGTTCACTCTCTCCTCGCTTCAAGAGCTCTATCATACCTCAAAATAAAGCTATCTATGGATCCGGGTTACAAGACCAATGCCCAGGTCATTGCAGTTCCTGGCTTCTCTAGTGCTCAAGAAATAATTCCTAACATACCTTTGACGAACCTTTTAACTTCAAGTTGTGCACTCGTGTTCCTGTTTCCTCGCATCTCGAACACTCTGTCCCAGCTCAAGTATCAATAATTCTCAGTATCTTATACGTCGTCATCATATCATCCCTAGTAGCCCTGTTCTTTTACTTCCCTTTTAGTTTGGGACAAATTTCCTCATGGAAAACCGAACTTTAATTTCGTATATATCAACTGGAATCTTTGTTTTAAAAACAAAAACAAAACTATTTATTTTATTAAAAATTTTCTATTTTTAATTATACATAAATTAAAAAATTATTTATTAAATTTATAATTTTAATAAATATTATTTTATTATTTTTCCGCATATATTATTTCAATAATTATTTAAATGTAAAAACGGCCATTGCAATCAGTACAGTGTACCACCATGGAGTTCCTCAAGTTGTACCCACTATCAGTAGTAACTAGAACGGAAACATTAAAACCTATCAACTCAAGAACATTGTTTCCTAAACATAAAAACATAGTAATTAAAAATATAAATCAAAACATTATTAATTAAAAAATTATTAACTAAATTACATTAATAACCCATAATAAAACGTCAATTAATATTTAAAAATACTACTAAATTTAAATGAAACCCCGTCCCCATAAGACAGCCAGTCACCCCAAGAACACCGTCAGTCACCCACTCAAGAACACGCAGTCACCCACTCAAGAACACCGGAGTCACCCACTCAAGAACACCGTAGTCACCCACTCAAGAACACCGCAGTCACCAATCAAGAACACCGTCAGTCACCCATCAAAAACCACAGTCACCCACTCAAAAACACCGTGATTTCACCCACTCAAGAACACCGTAAAGTAAAACACTCATAAGAACACTGTGAGTCACCCACTCAAGAACACCGTCAGTCACCCACTCAAGAACACCCCCAGTCACCCCACTCAAAAACCCACCGCCAGTCCCCACTCAGAACCCCGTCAGTCACCCACTCAAGAACCCCGTCAGTCACCCACTCAAGAACACCGCCAGTCACCCACTCAAGAACACCGCCATCACCCACTCAAGAAAAACCGCCAGTCACCCACCTAGAACACCGTCATCACCCACTCAAGAACAACCGTCATTTCACCCAATCAAGAACACCGTCAGTCACCCACTCAAGAACCCCCAGTCACCCACTCAAGAACACCGTGATCACCCACTCAAGAACACCGTCAGTCACCCACTCAAGAACACCGTCAGTCACCCACTCAAGAACACCGTCAGTCACCCACTCAAGAACACCGTCAGTCACCCACTCAAGAACACCGTCAGTCACCCACTCAAGAAACCGCAGTCACCCACTCAAGAACCCCTTTCAGTCACCCCTCAAGAACACCGTCATTTCCCCACTCAAGAACACAGTCAGTCACCCACTCAAGAACACGTCAGTCACC